TTTTAATTCACTTTGGTGCACAAGAAAACAACAGGAAGGAAGAGGGGTATGCAGCCTTGACAGCAGCCCGGGAGTGCTACCCCTGGAAGGCTCCACCCACAACGCTGGTCCCTGGCCAGCCTCAGGGAACTTTGATTTTGAAAGGGTCCCCCAGTTCCCTAAGAACCCAGGACAGTTGACTCTGCCTAAACCCTGTGTGCAAACGACCTGGTTTATGGTAACATATGCTTTCCTGCTGAAGATCTAGAATTCTGGTGTGTGTTAGGCAGAGGGCACTGTGAGCAACCTTTGATAAAAACCTTGGACCCTGAGCTTCCAATGAGCTGCTGCGTTTTGTTGTCAGGGAGGGATGTGCTTTGTGTCACCTCTCATGGGAGGGAGGGAACGCAAGCAAAGCCACACATGGATTCCTCCAGATGCTGCCGGGGTGTCCTCCCTTATGATGGGCTGTGTATCCATGCAGGGTTGCAGTCACAGTCTGAGCCACAAGTACAGCTACAGGCTGAGTCCCCAGGCCTTGTGAATCTGTGAATGTGGGGTGATCTTGTGGACACGGCACTCTGAGTAGCTGTGGCAGGATGGAATTAGAGGAGGTAAGAATGGCGGAGACCAGTGAGGAGACTGATAATTAAGGAAAAGTGATCAGCAGCTGAGCAAAAGCAGTGGCAGCAGAAATAGAGAGAAGGGACACCATTGTCAAGATACCAAGAACAATAGGTAATAGCCTGGAAGCAAGGTGATGCCTTCTGGGTCACAGATCTGAGCAGCGGTGCAGAAAATGATGTCATTCGTGCAGGTGAGCAATAGGGAAGTAGGCTGAAGGGATGGCTATTGAGGACAGTTGGGGATCAATCCCACACCCTGAAATAACAAAACTCAGATGACTTTGGCTCCCCTTGGCTAAATTACAAATATTGGAATTGCTAAATGAAATAGCTCGGTATAGAAAAGTTAATATAAAGTGTACCAAAAGTGGACATAGTATAAAGCCAATGCTTAAGTCTTCAGTTATATCAAAAGTACTTTCTATCAATTACAAAACTTTTCATAGAGAATAGATGTACCCTTGTAGTACACACTTATTCATTCATGTAAGCAGAAAGAAAGGAACTCAGGGGGCAAGGATAAGCCAATTAATTCCAGAAACAGAAGCTGCTTGTCCCACACAGGGAGGACAGGTCAGAACATGGGCCACTCAGAAGAGTGAGGCAGAGGAAGCTATGCTCCTGTCCACGAGCCAATCCAAATCCAAACATGCCAAGTAATTGTGGAGACTTAATCCTCCCTCCAAGATGGGTCATCCAGCTTGATGACTAATTACCAGATATTCACAAGAAACCATGAAGTTTTAAAAACTGCCAAAACTCAAGACCAATATGTATAAATTACTGGTCTGTTAGCTTCTAACTCTAAAATGGCTCTATTATATCGTTGGATAAGTTTGGGGATTTTTCTGGTTTATTGGTCTATAATCTAAGCAGATATCCTTTTGGGAAAATACCTCATTATGATATACAGTTAAAAGATGCAAGACAGACATGGATTATTTAATAATGTGTTAACACTGGCCACCTCAAGGGTGGACACTGGTTTGCAGAAACTGAAACCTATGTGACAGGCAAAATCTTAAAGAAAAAAATCTGACTTAGAGTTTAGTGTAACAACAACAACAACAAAAATCTGAACCTAAGAGAGATTGGGGTTTGAATCTCCTTAGGAGGAGGCAGAGAGTGATATAAATGCAAATATAAACAAAGATATATCCTCAGATGATAATCAGAGCCTATAACTAAGACAGTTTTCTTTTCCTTTCTAGTCTGTTAAGAGTCTTCTATGTCCAGGAGGGTGTTCAGATATTGACTCTTGAGCCCTACGAAGACATCTGAATTAATATTTAGAAATACAGATGAGTACAGTCATTAGGAGTCCAGGCTCTGGTGCCAGATTGCCTGAAATCAAACTCCAGCTGTGCTTCATCCTACCTCTGTGACCTTAGAAAAGTTTCCTACCTTCTGTCTCAGCTTGTCAATCTGCAACAGAGGATTAATGATACAATGTGTGTAACTATCTTGATGCTTAAGTAGGATGATACCTAAAAAGCATTGAGAATAATGTGCTAAGTAAATGTTAGCATTAGCTAAAAGTGATGTGACCATCTGGGCAGGCAGAAAAAATTAAAATGGAAAATATTAATTACATTATGTTGTTGCTTTAGGTCTAAGTGTAAGTATATTAAGAATTTTGGAAGACAAGTTATTTGTATATGTTGTCCAAAGCACTGAAACTTTTTGTAACAAATAAAACTACATCTGAAGTTATAGTTGGAGTTGCTCAATGCTTAAATGCTTAAAGACAATTTTCAAGATTTTATTAGACTGATTTTAATAAGCTGAGCATTGAACAAATCATAAATGGTGTCCAACATGAAATCTCCCCAAGTGTTAAAGTAGCAGATCTTCCCAAAGCGCTCATCATCCCAGGTAGACTTCACTCCCCACAGGTCTGGACCATAGCAGCAGTTGCTTCAGTAGGCTCCTGCTGAAAACTCGGGACTCCACAGCACACCAAGCTCACGTGGAGTCACTGTCAGCAAAGGGTCACCTCTACTGCTTTCTCTTTTCCTATTCCTGGATTTTGGAGTATCAAATGTATCAAATTCAAATCCACACTCTATATCTTTAAGTGACCCTTGTGGTTGCCTAAAAAGCTTTTAATACTCCCATCTTGGCCATGTACCTATTCCAAACCTGTCTTCTCTTCTATATACCTATTCCAAACCTCCACAGTTACCATTCGACTTCAGCACAACTTTGTCTTCTACTATACTGAAGATGTGCAAGAGCAAATTTCGAGGGAGGCAGGACCATGTGGTAGAAAGCACTTGGAAGGCAGGTTTAGTAGTATTAACCATGAAGCCTTGGGCAAGTTACTTAAGGCAACCATTGGCCCAGATGTATACTATCTAACTCCAGAATAATTATAAATAGGAAATGAGACAATATAGAGTACTTATCACACAGTTTTTCCAATAAATGAAAGTTCTCTACCCTGCTACTGCCCATCACCAACCCATTCATTATTCATTCATACCACTATCAACAATTATTAACAACTATCTGCCATGTGCTGGGCTGTAAGGTGCTTGAGGCCAGCAAGACAGATCTGTCTCCTGGACTTGAGTTTATGTACTACCCCCACTGTCCAACTTTCCTTCTCATTTGTTTCCCTCAGAATCTGCTACCTGCTAATGCAGGCTCTCTTTTCCCAGCATCTCCCTGCTCTCTAGAAGTTTCTTCTCACCCCTTCAAGCATATAAAAACCTCCTCTAGCTGAATCCCATGGCCTCCCTCCAGCAAAACAGTTCTCATTTAGGTTTTCCTTCACGATCCAACTTCCTGGGTGAGTAACTCACCTTCTGACTCCATGTCTTCACCATTGACTCCACTCAAATCCCTGTCAGTCACTCTTGCCTCTCACACATCTGAAACCACATGCTTCAAAATGAAAACTCTGGCATGAATTCCAAAGATCTTTTCCTTCTTTTCTTTACTTCTCTACAACTTCTGACTGGATAAGTTTCTGCCTCTTCAACCAGTTACAGTAGCTGCCTTGATGCTGCTTGGATCTCACTTTTATTCCTACCTCTGAAACTTCTGTCTTCCTGGCTCCTTTGTCACATCTTTGCCTTAGAAACAAGGATGATTCCCATAGGTTGGTCTTTATGCAATGTTTTTCTTTCTATCCTGGGGATATTCACCCACATCCAGGGCTCTATTTTCCACCTCTACAAAGATAGTTCCAAATTCCAATCAACTCCTTTTCCGAACTCATCTTTTATTTCCAAATGGCTACAAGTTTTGAATTAGGCATCAGCTGAAAACCACCTTCCTCTACACAGTTCCCATTAACTCCTCTCCCTGCTTTTTCTATCAGATGTTCTATTATCCTCCCAGGTGTCCCAACTCCAAACTCTTACACCTCGCTCTCTTTTCTCCCAAATCAAGTCACCAGGCCCTTTAGACTCTTTTGCAATGTCATTCGTACCCTTTCCCTACCACTAACACCATGAAAATTCAAGTCCATAACTGCTCGCTTCAGAACGGAACCCTGCCATTATTCTCTTCCACTCTAATCCTGAATGTGACCACTAGAGTGACTATCCCTGTCAGTCTTCTGGTCAGACCCATAAAATCTGATCTGATTATTGGGTCTCGGGGGACACCCTGTGCTCTGGCCTCGGTGTACGCTTCTTCACTCTGTCTCCTGCTATTCCTCCAAATTTGCCCCCCAGTAAAATTCGTCTCCCTCAAGTCTGCCTATCACTTTGGTACTCCTTTTACATCCCCCCCCCCAACAATTCCTACCTCGTACATAAATCCAGCCCCTCGATCGCGCCCTCGGGCACAAACTCAGGACAGGAGATTTAATGACGAATGTAAGGCGCTTTTTGGGAAACAGGCAGGGCTAGGTGGGCGGCACTCTAGACTGGGTGTCAAGCCCACCCACGGTCATTGGTCCCCCGTTAGGGAAAGAAGAGACCGCAGAGCGGAGGAGGACCCCGCAACCTCCACCCCGAAAGTCCAGGATCTGGCGCGCAGTGGGTGCGCCCCGCAGGACCGCTGGCAACAGTGCCACAGCACACACGGCAGGGGACAACTTTGCGTCCGCACCTTTCCAGCGGGGACGTGGCCACACACATCTGCAGACTGGCTCCGCCCGCGCCACCCTGTCCTCTCCTACAGCGCCTCCCCCAAACCCCCAGCGTCCCCTTCTCTCGGCCGCTGCGCTCACTTGGCTCCTGGAACATACAGACCCGCAACCCTCACCTCCCGCACAGAGTGCTCGGGACCGGGAAGACGGCACCACTTCAGGTCGGACAGCAGTGCGCCTGTGCGAAGGCCCTGGCGGCCGCGCTCCCAACCAAGGAGCTGTCTTCGCGGGACTCCAATTCCCAGAAGCCCCGGCGGCCGGCGCGCCTAGAGATGACGTGTAGGACCGCGCAAGCGCACGCGCCGGAGAAAGGCTCCGGGGCTGACACGACCCCGCCCGCCTAGTGGTCTCCCTAGCGGCAGAGGTGCAGCTGCGGATGCCTGGGAGGCTTAGGGTCGCCCTGAAGTATGCCCACGTGTGATGCCACATTCCTCCAGCCCTCCATTTATAGAGTTGTCCGAAGGAAATGCGACCCTAACCTTGGGCACAACGAAGGCGATATCCAGTCTTCTGGCTCCGCTTCCGCCTGTCCATTTGCAGGAATTTGATTCTGAGATTTGGGGATAGAGGTTTGGAGTTTGGTTCTGAAGATTGCGCTATGGCTGAGGGAGGGTCTGCGCGCATATTTGTACCGGAAGAAAAGAAGGGCCCACGGTAGTACGTGTACTTAACTGGGCAGCGGGAACTGAATCCCCAACGGTTTGAACACACCAACCTGCCTCTCGTGGTGCTGCTGGAGAGGCCCAGGCTGGAGACGTGGCCGATTCTTAACCGCGGAAGAGTATGAAAAGATCCAGAGGTGACTCTACTGCGCCGCTAAAGAACCACCGAGCTACATGGAGCTTCAGAGAGACTAAAAATTACACAAAGAAGGTGAAACTCTTACTTCAGGAACAAGTCTACTTTTTCACTTAAAAAAACAAAAACAAAAACAAACCTCAATTGCTTATTGTTAAAAAAAGATGCTGCCCAAAATGAGCTCATGACCCAGTGATAAAATTAATATTTGAAATTACAATACAATGCAGTATGTTCAATAGGGGAAGTTCAAGCGAGGAAACAACTAACTATGGCTCAGAAAGGTGTATCTAGTGCACTTGAATAATGAATATTTGTTAAGAAAGTGCAATCTATGCAGAGAATAGCACATGCAAGGTATAGACTAGAGGATGAAAATGCAAAGAATTAACAGCAAGATGAACAGCTGGTGGATAAGGTTCAAGGGCTGATTATAGTATCCTGGGGTCAGGCTGAAGCAGACTTAGTTGTACTGTCCGGGCTTTCCTAGGAGAGTAGAACTTGATTAAAGTCATGACATCTAAGATATATTTTCTTGCTATTTTGATGGTGGTTTTTAGTATACATTTAGCCTTATATTGACAGGAAACTTTGGAGGTCCTAAATGAGTTTCCTTCTAGAGTTCCTCATCCACTGGTAGGGCCTACATCCTAGGTTTTATTGTCCCAAGTAACTGTCAAAGTGGAAGTTTATGACTCCATTTCCCTACAACTATATGTGCTTATGTATGTTACTAAATGGGATGTAAATGGATATATTGTATAGCATCTTCTAACAGCCTGCCTTAAAAGACAACTAAAAAGGAACTGTTATTCATATGACTACAAGAATGACTCAGGGCTTTATACCAAGTGACAGAAGCCAGTCTTACAAAGTTTTACATATCTGGTGATTCCATTTATAACATGTTCTGGAAAAGGCAAAACTGTAGGACAGAGAACAGACCCGTGGTCATAGGGATTGAGTGGAAGAAGCACTTGACTATAAAGGAACACAAAGAGAATGTTGGGGTGATGGGGAACCTATAGGCTGGTGGGGACTGGAATTCCCCTAAAAGAGTTTTGAGATCAAATGGCCCATCTAGAGCACTGAGCCAGGGAGAGAACATTCCTGTTAGCACTGATTAGCACCCGGGCAACAAATGTACATTGTAGCAAAGGCCTCTGGTTCAAGATTTGTCTCAAGGGACTGAATTTAAGAGTGGAGGGTTTCAGTGGGGTGTAGCGGCTCACATCCGCAATCCCAGCTACTGTGAAGGAAGGATAAGCACCAGGATTTCAAATTCGAGGCCAGCCTGGATAACTTAGCAAGACCTGGTCTTAAAAATGGCGGAGGGGGGGCACTTTCAGACACTGCAGCAGGCCATTAGAAGAGATATCAGGGACAGGCAGAGCCCCTTAAGTTCATCTGAAGCAGTTCCAGCTCTTCCTAATTATGTGGAGATGAAAATCTCATTTGTCTATCCCTTTGCCTTTTTTGGCTCCAGGGCACAGGAGATGGGAGCAGAAACTCTTGTGCCACCCATGGCTCCCAGGCAGTGCCCCCTGCTTGGGAGGAAGAAGATTTGCTTGCTGGGCAAATCCTGGCCATCTGTGCCACTGGAAGTGCTGGCAGAAGAATGAAGCACCCTGAAACAACAAGAAGGGGGAATGGCCTTTCTTCCCTGGTTTTGTGAATTATTTATCTTGAACCCCTAAATAGAACTGATAAAGCAACTGCCCTGTCCTCACAAGCCTCCCCTCTTTGGCTGAGGGCTTCCTTCAGAAAACACACTTTTCATGCTCAGTTTGTTTTAGGCTGTTGCAGCTGCTAACAAAACACCTTAGACCAGGTAATTGATAAACAGCACAGCATTTGTTGCTCCCAGTTCCAAAGGCTGGAAAATCCAAGAACAAAGTGCCACTAGCTTAAAGGTCTTTTGAGGGGCCCCTTCTACACCTACCCACAGCTTGGAAGGGACAAAAGGAACTAACAAGCTCTCTCAAGCCTCTTGTGGGCACTAATCCCTTTGTGAAGTGCTGTCCTCGTGACCTTCTGGTCTAAAAACAAAAGCAAAGCAACAACACTTCAATACCATAACCTTGAGGGTTAGATTTCAAAAAGAATTTTGGAATTTCACGCATTCAGCGCATCCTAGACCCATTTCTTTTACGGTTCAAAATGATATTTCTAGAGCACCTCGGCACCCAAAGTCTTCCTTTCTTCTCCATCACCCTCTGTTGAACTCAAAACTGGGACTGGAAGAAAGGCAGAGGCACGGGACAGCCTACAGAATAGTGTTATCTGATATTGCACCAACCAGGATCTCCACCAGGCCTGGACACTTAGAAGAAACAGGACAGCGTCCTGGAAATCCTGATCCGATCCGCAGACTCAGGGTAGAGCTCGCGTTTGTTCCTTTTCAACAGATTTCCAACAGCTTCTGAAAAGACAGTCTCAAAGTGGGCTATGGGGCTCCGCTTCCAAAAGAACTTGAGAGAAGGGAGAGGCCCCTAGGTCCCAGCTGGTGGGGCAGAGCAGAGCCATAGCCCCTCCGGAGCTGGCGCCCACTGCCTGCGTCCTCAGACTCCCTCCGCAGGTGCGAGCGGGCTGGTGCATGCCCTGCTGAGGCCCGCGCGCAGGCGGGGTGGCCAGCCTGGGGTCACACTCCAACTTCCTGCAGCCTGTTGTGGGCTCTGGACAGGTGTGGTGGAACCTCACACAGCTGTGTTCAGGAGCACTTCTGAGGTGCACAGGCTAATGGCTGTCTCTCAGTTCGCTTTGTGTTTCTACCTGTGGCCCCCAAACCCCTGAGGTACTGTGTAGGGGATCTCCTGCCTGGGGAGTCTGGGAGATGAACATTCCAGAATGCTCAGACTCCCCTGTGGCTGCTTTTACTTTCCCAGCTTTCACTTCTCAGGATCCTGCTCTTCCCCCTGAGAGACTCCTGGCAGAAAAGGGAGCAGCCAGTTTATTTCTGAAAGGTAGGCCTCAGGTGAGTTGGGGTTTTCTTAAAATTTCCTCAAATTCTTGAACTACAGGTTGCTTTGCCTCCTTCTTTCTAGAACCTCTTTGTTCAACAAAAGGAACTGACCCCAGTTTCCTGCTCTTTGGGAGCTGATCCGGGCAGGTGGAGGATGGCCTTGTCAGGGCTCTCTCCTCTCCACTGTTCTGCACCATCCCTCACTCACTTGGATCCTTCAGGCTTCCTCTGGCTCATTTCTCTAATGGGCACTGTGATGACTGACAGGTATTACAGCAGAGGCCTGGCCACAGCAGTGGGAGAAGGCTGACACCCAGGACGCCATACCCTTGTCTGTTTTGTTACTCATAGTTGTTCACTTCTGTCTCTTCTGCACACAAAATGCCTCCCTGAGGGAGAGTACTCCAAAGTCCCATCTAATCTGAGGATCATGATTAAAGTCCTCGATGATGTGATAGTATCTGCATTGAATCCAGATGTTTCTCCCCTGGATCAGGAGCCCTCTTAATAAAAGGATAAGCTATCTGAATGAGTATTTCCAACACATTAACAAGGGCGACATGAAGACCACAATGAACACTTGGTCAGAAAGGGGAAGCATGGGAGGATCCCAGCAGCTTAGAACCACAGAGATGAAATTCCACTGGGCAGGTGCTGGCAGGCCTCTAATCCTGAAGGGAAAGTATCTGGGTTGTGACCGCTTCTCCTCTGGGTGGCGCTTCCAGCTGGTGATTCTCCTGGGCTGCTGGCCGTGCCCTCAGAAAGTCTCTTTGGCAGTATTCTCCATAGTCACATCTCACATGTGAAGATGACACTGGACAACAAGCTCTCTTGGGACTAAGCAGTTATTCATCCTGCTTGAGCAGGGTGAGGGCCCAGGGATGGTTTCGGGTTATGAATACCTGATGCATCTCTCAGCACCTTCAGCAGGTTTTTAGGTATTTGTTTCCAGTGGGCTTACGGTGGCAGTATCTTCACTCACAGTTCTTTCTAAATATGCCTGTCTTTTGGACTTAATTGAGGAGCTTCTTGGGTTTCCCCCAGGAAGACATGCTTTTTTTCTTTTTCACTCTGAGCAATTTGTTCCCACTGAGGATTTCCTGGGAGCCATCTGCAATGACTCAGAGGCTGAAAGGAAATGTTTGACAGCCACACCATGAGATGGCCCTTCAGATTAGGCTTTTTATTATCCTTTTGCATGCAAAAGCCACTGTGTGTATTATCTTTGGCCAACTGGGAAGGAAAATTGGTTAAGTCTCCCACCCTATAAGTCCTCATATTTCTGGATACTCTCCGGTTTGTTTTACATACCAGGACGCTCTTGGAGCTCCTATTTTTCCCTATAATACTTTGTCAAACATAACCAGTAACAGCAGCTCTTACTACTAATTTTGTTTCCAGCCTCTGCTTGTAACATCACAGGCTCATACTTACATCAAGTTATTGATGTCATGGTTTTACCAAACAGTTCATTACCAAACCACCATGGGTAACAAGACCAAGAGTTAAGTTACAATTACTATTTTAACTCATTCTTGGAGATATATATATATATATTTTTTTTTTTTAATTTTTAAGTACTTTAGGGTAAAAGTAATAAGAACTTATACTACTTTCACCAGTTCTGCATTTTAGTTCATATTATATGTATTACCATATATTATGAGTCAAATGAGAGGTACTGTAATTACTAAGGTGATAGCATAATTCTGGCTGAGACCTATGGTATGGGTCTATCTTGTAGTGGGGACCTGGGATCAAGGGCCCCATGCACAGGTTTGTAGACTCCAGAACTGCATAATGAGTAGGCTTTGAGGGGAAGGATTCATTCTAATCAAACTCACAAAACTTACTGATTCATTGTAAGGCCACTTGATTTACTTTTGTTGGGTGTGGGCAGAGCCACTTCCTGGCAGTTGTCAACCTGAGGTTCTTGGTCTCTTTCTGGCTGTAAACTGGGTGTGATTCCGCCTGCTGGAGACTGCCACATTCCCTGGGTCATAATGTCCTTCCTTCACCTTCCAAGCCTACAGTGTGGGCAGAATCCTCCTCCCACAGTACCTGTACCTACCCAGGGAATGTTCTCTGGTGGAACAGCACTGTGTGCACTGAGGTGTCAAGGGAGGACTTTGTGGAGGACATGAGCTTGTCTCTGAAAGACATGCAGAACCTTGAAGAAAAAAGTAGGTGGATGAAGATACCTGGGAAGCAGGGGCAGCCACTTGCTGGCACAGGATAAGCACCAAGCTGAAGTGACTTGGGATCATCCTGTAGGTACTGCAGAGCCTCTGGAGGATAAGAGTTGAGGAGAGATGCCAGGAAAGGGACATTTTAGGAAGATTAGTGATGAGGGGCTCTGAAGAGACTGGAGTAAATGACTGGATAGACACCTGCCATGGGTCCCTAGGCCTGAAAAGTTGAGGAGGGGTGGGGTCTGCAGCCAGCTGACCTGCACCTTACATTTCTCCTGTCTCTTTCTGTCCCTGTCCCTCACACTTCGTCTGCTTCCCCATCACACTTCCTGTCTCCCTCTCATCTTTAGTCTTTGGACTCAACCTTGTGTACTGGAACCCGAACATGGTTCCAGTTAACCTGCTCATCGCTTATTTTTGACACTTCCCAAATCTTCTGACACGAGCCATTCCTGAAAGAATCTGCAAGCCCCTTTAGATATCGTTAAAGGTCCATCATCTTTCACTCATTGTTGTTTACTTCCTCTTGGCACGTGAAACAGGTAATAGTAAAATGTTTTTTTTCCTCTTACAGACTAGAAAAGAAGGCCTAAAGCCAAGGAATCAATGTCAAGTCAGGGAGTTTCCAAAGAATTATTCCAGATATCAGCAGTGTAAAAACACATTCAAGATGAGCTCTCATCCTCCAAACCGAAAATCACTTGTGCTTGCAATGATCACAGGTTAGGGATGCATCAGGTCAAACAGAGACATCTGAAGGAGATGCCAGTCACTCACAAATCTACTCCCATCCTTAGGACGGATCAAGAATGGAGTGGACTTGGAAGAAGTGTAGGCTTGAGACCAGTCCTTAAGTCCAACCTTAACCAACACAGTGTTGCCACGAGAGAAAGATCCTATAAATGTGACACAGAACTGAGACAGTTTTTAAAGAGAAGTAACTTTCAGGGAAGCCACCCAGAGAGAAAATCTTGCAGGTGTAATGAATGTGGGAAGTCCTTCCACTTCCAGTCAGAACTAAGGCGTCATCAGAGATGCCACACCGGAGAAAAGCCCTATGAGTGCAGTGAGTGTGGATGAGCCTTTGGTCATATCTCATCCCTGATTAAACACCAGAGAACTCACATAGGAGAAAAACCCTACGAGTGCCAGGAGTGTGGCCACACCTTCAGTCAGAGTCCCTCCCTTGTCCTGCATTACAGGTTCCACACCCAGGAGAAGCCCTAAAATGTAACAAGTGTGGGAGGGCCTTTAGCCAGAGCAAACACCAGAGAACTCATACTGGAGAAAAGCCCTATGAGTGCAGGGAATGTGGGAAAAACCTTCAGCCAGAGCTCCTCCCTCATCGAACATAACAGGTTCCACAGGGAGGAGAAGCCCTATAGCTGCAACGAGTGTGGGAGGGCCTTCAGCCAGAGTGCATACCTCACTCAGCATTATAGGTTTCATACCAGGGAGAAGCCCTACAAGTGCAATGCATGTGGGAAGGCCTTTGCCCACCCTGCATCCCTCATTAAACACCGGAAGAGTCATGCTGGGAAACCCCCACCATGAGTTCCGTGAATGCAGGACAGCTTTGAGGTGGACAGGCAGAGTGCAGAGACCCTGGGAGTGTAAGGTCCTTCTGCTGGAGGACATCTTGTCTGCTATCAGCAGTACACACTGTGGAGCAGCCCTCGAGTCACACCCCTCTCTTACCAAACACCAGGAGCTGGTCTTAAGGAGAAGCCATGTGACTGCAGTGGAGGAGGGACGCGTCAGCTAGAAGACACATATTACTCAACAGCAGACATTTATAGTGGGGGAGCCTTGCCAGGGTAATGAGTGTGATATAGGCTTTGGTCACATCTGTTCATTAAAAAAAAAAAAAAATCAGACAACTCCTGGTGGAGAGGGATGCTGCAAGTGTGGGAATTGTGGAGGAACCTCCTGTGGTGCACTTCCTTTGTGAGCACCAGAGAACACACAGAAAGCTCAGCATGTGGCACATGACAGTTATCCCAATGACCTAGGAGGCTGAGGCAGGAGGATTCCAAGTTCAAGGCCAGCCTAGACAACTTAGTGAGACCCTGTCTCAAAATAAAAAATCAAAAGGGCTCAGAAGGTAGCTCAGTGGTAGAGCACTTGCCCAGCATGTGTGAGGCCCTAGGTTCTATCCCCAGTATCAAAACAAATAAAATAAAAATCCCAAACCACATACCCTTTGAAAGCTGGAGGTGTGGATGTGGCAAGCCTTCATCAGGGCTCATCCCTTATTACACATCAGAGAATTCATACTGGAGAGAACCCTGGCGGGGTGGGGCGGGGGTGGCGGGGTGGGGCGGGGGTGTCGGGGATGGAGCCATCCCTTCAGAAGCTGGAGAGCTCCCCCTGCTGGTTACAACCCTGGAATGTGGACCATGTGGGGAGCCTCTGCTGGCTCTTCTGCTCTTTGTTATACTGGATAATTTGTAGAACCTTTTAGGCAAGTGGGTCTATCAAGCTCCTAGTCTACCATGCTAGAAGTTAGTATTATTAAGATTTTTTTTTTTTTGAGATGGGATCCTGCTGTTTTGCCCATGCTGGTCTTGAATTCCAGCAATCCTCCTGCCTCAGTGTGTGGGACTACAGGTGCATGCCATTGTGCCTAGCAACTCTTTGAATTTGGTAAAACTGAGAAAACCCACTAGTATAACTCAGAACTCAGCATACATCAATTCTTCACCCCAGAGAAAAACCCTAGGAGCTGAAGGAAGGTGAGGAAAATTCCTTTCAGATTTGAAATCCACCACATGAGCTGAAAGGAAGTTAAAATGGCCTGCCTAGTGACTTCTACCTGCGGAGGTCAATGTTTAACTGTGCCTGTCCTTTGTCACCACATCCTGTGGATCACGGGGAGGGGTGTCACAGGGGCCAGAGTGACAAGGCTGAGCAGGTGGTCAGCCATCAGTGACCTAGCCCAGCCATGATTAGGCTAGGAGATGGATCTTTAGGGAGCATTGCCCTGCAGACCTTCCTGGGCTGGCCTCCTCCCGTGGGTTCAGCTGTAGTTTGGGGATGAGACTGAAGGCCCTTGCTATAGGACACCCTGTGTCCTTGTTTCTCTGTAGCACATTACCTTCTCTGTGAGGCCACAATTAGTCTGTATCTGAGCACGAAGCAATTCCCATTGCAACTGCATGCTACTAGATTTGGAATTTTTGGAATGAAATCTTAATTTTAATACTAAAACCACTAAAATATGGCTGTCATAAAAAATAAAAACCTCAGAAACATTATTCTAAGTGAAAGACGGCAGATATCAGAGTCCACATTATATGGTTTTATCCTTAGGAAATGTCCAGAAAAGGACATTTTTCAGAGACAAATGAGATTTAGTGGTGTCCTGGAGAATGGCAAATGAGAGTGACCACAATGTTATGGGGACAGGGGGAGGGGTGTTCTAAAATTGAATTACGGAGATGATTCAATGTTTTGGTAAATTACTAAATCTCTAATGTGTGGGGAGCCACAATGAATGACCACACCTTCCAGAGGGTCTCTGGTCTTGTGATAACCATTTAAGAATTTTCTCTTCATCATCTCACCACTTTTATCAGTTGCTGAAGGCCATGTCTCATGCTTCATCTGAGAAGGGAGCTTCCAGTAGGTTCTCACCAGCTGGGAGTTACTTTGAAAAAGAATTTGACTTTCCCACGTTTTCTCAGTGCACCTGGCTGATTTCATATTTTTGTACTACTTGAAAAGCTTTCCTTCTAGAAAACTGCCAATTAAATATTTCCTTAGAAAAATGTAATGGTGCCTCCTGTTTTTCAAATTCAGAAATAGATTAGCATAGTTTCATATTTAGGATAGTGTGGTATGTTTGTGTGTGTGTGTAATAGAAATTGAGTGCTTTTAGATTTTGCACTGTAATAGTTTCTGATGCCAACTGCTCAGAATTGGGATAAACTTCATGGGTTAAAAACATGGTATTTTAAACAAGGCTGCCCTCACAGATTGAGGAGTCCCCAGACCACCTTCATTTCTGACAGCTGGCTACAAATTCAGGGGTTCCCACTACCCCTGTATGTTAGATAACTCACTAGAATGACTCTCAGAACTCAGGACAAAGGGCCATGTTTTTGTTGTTTGTTTTTGGTATCAGGGATTGAACCCAGGTGTGCTTAACCACTGAGTCAAAGCCCCAACCCAACCTTTTTTTTAATTTTTTATTAGAGACAAGATGTCTCTACATTGCTTAGGGCCTTTCTAAGATGCTGAGTCTGGCTTTGAACTTGAAAACCTCCTTCC